AAAAAATTGGGGTGGGGGGGCCCCAAACCCCTCATAGAGGGGGACAACGTGGGGTGCCCCCGTCCCCGGAGTCAAGGCCGATACTGGGGTTACGCCCGGAGGGGAAGAGAAAGAGACCAACCTGGATGGAAACGTAAAAGGCGGGAGCTTTAAAATTTTCGAAGCCGTTTTGGGTCCTCTTCTCCCGGTTGATTTTGGGGTTGAGGGGGGCCTCAGTCACACGCACGGGATGTTCCTCTGGGGCGACACGAAGTTCATTGTAGAAGGTGTGATGCCAGATCTTCTCCATATCATCCCAGTTCGTGACGACGCCGTGCTCGATGGGGTATCGGAGGGTGAGGATACCACGCTTGGATTGTGCTTCATCACCAACATAGGAGTCCTTCTGGCCCATACCAATCATAATACTACGATGGAGTTAGTTGGTAACCTTGGCGGAAGTTTTGTTGGGTGGGGGGGGGGGGGGGGGGGGGAAGTATTAGAAGATGTATATATATTTACCCATGATGGCGAGGACGGCCGACGATCGAAGCTGTCTCATGTTAGCAAATGCCAACTGTTTATCAAAAACAGACAGACGATAGTCCTTCACTAGGTAGGGGAAGACTTACGGAAGACAGCTCGAGGAGCATCATCACCAGCAAAACCGGCCTTACACATACCGGATCTGTACGTCAACAAGGGTCAGCAATCACATAACTCCATATGTTTTGGTTGAGGACACCGCAATTCAACATGTTGCCCTGTGTGCACACACGCTGAGCGAACATATCAAACACATGTGCAGCGAGATGGCTAGAAAATTGGTTTGTGGATTTCAGGCTCTATTTGGTGATAGACACGCTTGTCTGTGTATTGAGCATTTTGGGGGTCGGGACGTGGACACAGCAACCAGATGTGTTGTGCGGGAAGAGGGACGCCAGAAGTCCGATTTGCTGCTTTTCGGGGATAAGGTGATTGTCAAAAGAACGTACCCATTGTCAATAACGAGGGCAGCAACTTCTTCTGCAGATAGTCAAGAAGGGATATTAGCCATTAGAGAATTACATAGAGTGCTTCCAGTTGGCTAGAACTGGAAAAATGTGAAGTGGGAGAAGAGGGAGGAGAGGGAGGGGAGGGAGGAGAGGGAGGGGAGGGAGGAGAGGGAGGGGAGGGATGGGGAGGGATGGGGAGGGATGGGGGCCCAGATGCTTACCCTCCATTGTGAACTACAAGCGATAGCAGGCGAGGATATAGCCTGAGTAGTAGGGACAGATAGGCGGGAAAAAGGAGAGAAGCGGAGAGGGAGAGAAAGGAGAGTTAAAGGGTGTTGTGGCTGTTGATATTAGCGATGAGAAAGTGGGGGGGGGCCCAAGTGTGTAATGGCGGTAGGAAGGACGCGAATGGATGGTGAGGTTGGATGTTGTTGATGGTTGATGTGGATGTGGTGGTCGTTGTTGAAGGACGAGGTGGAAAACTTGGAGAAGCGGAAGCTGAAGAAGAAATTTGCAGGTTGGAAGGGGAGGCAGAAGGCGGTGGGGGGTGGCAGCAACGCGTATTATTACGGCTGTGAGGGATATATTACAGGATATATTTCTACCTTAGACTGCCGCCTCCAACTTCTGGAAACACTGCCACCTCTTAAATAACTACGGCAAAAACACTGTTGCCTTAAGGGACAAGAGATGAACAAGAGACGGCAAGACGACCATGACGAATTCTCTGCGGCACACAGGGTGTAAGCATCTCTTCAGCTATTCCTCTACTCCATGCCATATACCCGTTCATATCTCCTAAATGGATGGATGTATCGTACCATACGTGTACCGTATCTGCCATGTTGTGTCTTTCATAATGGCGGGGTCAAAAGTGAAACTTCTTGGTACGTCTGTCCCCATACAACGACAGCCCGGCGTGGTGGTACTCCCTAAGTCAACCTGAATATATCCCCAATCCAAGGCAAATAGATTCTTGGTACCTCTCTTTTCATTCTCACCCATGAAACACTGATATCTGCCTATTGTCCGATCCATCAACACCTCCCGCTTTGGAATCTTCTGGTGCGAATCTACAAGGCAACCGCCAAACCTTTTAACACTTTTCGTGCCCGTAGTTAACGGGGGGACGCGCGTTGTATGTGGTAGAGGGAGCAAGAAAAGAGCTCACTGGTCCAAGAAGGTTAATAAAGGGCAATAAGTTGACATCCTTTGAGGGCCTCAGGGGTCACTTTCTAACATTCACACAATCTTGTATGCACAGTAGTTATTTCAGCTAGAAAAGCGAGGATTGTGGAATGTGGATAACTCTACTCCTCCGTTACATCCCTTCTCCGCTCCGAGGAATCTATTCTCCCTCCACAGCCTTTTCGAAAGGATGAAAAGCTAGCCAGCTAGCCCCTGATAGAACGACCAAGAGGCCTTTCAAAATTCAAAAGAAACATTTATCCGTGTGTTGTTTTACTACACATGTCACATTATAACATGCATAACCACGCATATGCACCTGCACCTGAACCCCGCGTCATAATTGCCCATGGAAAACTCATCTCGTAGAGGCCCCTCCAAGTTCCAGAGAGCATCCTACATACAGCAAGAGTGCATGGCAATAGCCAGCGAACTCTGCAGAAGCTGGACCGCTCATTTCAATTTTCCTTTCTGGTTGGCATCTGACAGCTGCATCGAACACACCGCGGATGACAGAAACTCGGGATTCGGGACCACTCGCATAGTTACAGCTCCCGCATCCAAAAGAAAGCATGGCTTGCTCCCGGACTGACAGGAAAAAAGAAAGAAAAAAAAAAGAAAAGAAAAAAAAAGAAAAGAAAAATTCTCCGTGTGTCGTAAAGAGAACATGCATGCATGAGAGAAGTCAAGCCCGGTGATCTCCAACGTGGACTCAGGGGTGAATTTTAAATATTGATTTTCTGGACCCTGATAGTTAATCAAGTGGTTTGACGAGAAGACAAGATACCCAGTCTCATGTTGTTTTATCAGATACTACCCTTTGGTGTTCCTATTCCGCGTGGATAGTATATATCCATTTCAGGATGTAGGTAGGCTCAGCAATCTTATCACAGCAGATCAAGATTCCATCTCAACACCCACTAACTCACCGCACTTCCCCAAGCCCTTCAGCGCCCGTGTATGGCGTCGGGTGGGCTCACGAACCACTGCATGCGAGAAAACCAAGGTCAAGAATCAACACCCTGCTGGCACGGGCAAGACATTAGCAGAATCTGTGAATGGATTTATTCCACGGACTGCAAAGAAATGCAGACGATTCAAAGGATATATCTACTACCTTATCTAGCTTTGCAGCGGACCTTGAAAACACGCAGGAATGGTAGCTGGATGCGGTTGAACAGAGGGTGAAGTGTGTAACTACCTCTTTAGTACCTATATTTGAAATATCTTGATCATTCTTCCGTCAACGAGAAAATGCTAGATTTTAATCCATTTCCCCCTTATTTTATCTCCTGCATATATCTCTCTATCCAAATCATAAGTAGTCATAACCTCTGTTTACTCATAATGCTTTATTAATGCAGAATGGTGAAGATTGCATAGAAACTTAACGCATTTTCCAGAACCCGCAACTGGCTCGGTATGCCATCATCCCTGGATCAAAATGTAATTATAGTTATTTGACACAGATTATATATCCTCCACGCTTTAAAAAGCAGAGTAACTTAGAATCGATACTTCGGTATTAACGTTTGTTAGCAGAAATGTATGGCTCTCTAATCTCCATCTGACGTGTATGGGGTCTTCAAGAGCACAACAATTATAATCCCGTGCGTGCCCTTCCCGCCAAAAAACAACCCCGTCTCTATTGAAACCACCGTCCCTCCCGCTCCTCCACCTCTCAATCAAAACCACTACCCTCCGTGAACAGCTCACAAATATACAACACATGATGGACCCTTCAATGAACAACCTCCTAAAATGGAGCATTGAAAACTCCGTCCCAAACCCTGACACCACCACTGACACATCCAACGGCGCCCCCGCAACCACTGCCGCCCCCCGTGCCCCGCGCTCCCTCTCCCCCACCGCCCTCCACCGCCTCCTCCTAAACACCCCCTCAGACTCCGAACTAATGAAAAACGCCATGGAAACCATCCGCTCCCCCACCGCATCCCTCGGCGACAAAATCACCGCCTTCGATAACTTAGAGCAGCTGGTCGAGAACATCGACAATGCGAATAACCTGGGCATGTTGGGGTTGTGGGAGCCATTGGTGGAGGAGCTGGGGGCTCTGGAGGAGGGGAGGAGGATGATGGGGGCGTGGTGTATTGGGACTGCGGTGCAGAATAATGAAGGGGCGCAGGGGATGGTATGTTCCGGCTATTAATCTCATTTCTTTCTTTCTTTCCACCCCCGTTTCTTCTTTTAAGAAAAATAGATCTGACGATTTTGTTTTTGGGTATGAAACTAACAACTGTGATGAATAGCTCCTGTCAAAAGTCCCCACAGCCCTCCCGACGCTCTTTGCCCTCTCGCAAAATGACCCGCACTTAACCGTGAGAAGGAAAGCCATCTACGCGCTCTCGTCTGCTATCCGCAACCATCAACCCGCCATGGATGAGCTCCTGCGCCATTTGCCGGAAGATGTAAAGAAAGAGATTGGGGAGAGTATTGATGCGAGTGATATGGATAACGTAGATAGGCTGGTGAACAGGTTGAGAGCTGGGGCTGGTAGTTGAGAAATTAGACTGGTTTCTGGATTTGGTGTGGCGGTGTATATACTGGGTTGCATGGGAAGTTTCTGGGTAATTTGATTCCATTTTACTGCTATCCATATTAACGTGGGTGTACGCATGGGACTTGGGTTTACACGTTTTACGGAATTTAGCGGGATAAAAGGTGAAGTTCCCTTGATTTAATTGGGTTTCTCTCTGATGTTTTATCAGAACATGTAAAGTATGTTGGTAGATAAGGTAATATTATTGGTGTGTCCAATGCCAATGCTTCATATGGGCTGAAGCACAATATAGCTCTTCATATCATAGAGCTTTCGAGAACTGGGAAAATACAGATGGAACGGGGATTGTTTTAAGGCATTGACCAAGCCGAATAATCGCATAACAGATAATAATATCAACAGCAAGAGGATCAATGCTTCCATCGAATAAACACAAAACAAACATGGGGACAAAACAGAATTGCGCCGCTGACGCCGGGTGATAAATCACCAAAAACTTTGAGAAATATATGTTAAGAGATATTGACGAGGATGGGGTGGAAATTAATATGAATTTCCCTGTGTGGGTGAAACTGGAAAACCATTATCGATGCGTTCCGAAATGTTCTGTTCTAATGGCCATTGTTACAACTGATAAGACAAAAAAGAGGTTGGAACAAACAATGTGGCGCCCGGAAGAAATTAGCTGTTGCCTTGCTGCCAGACATGTTTATAGCGTGAGGCTGTATGTATAATCTTCTTCCATATTCTGCGATACCCAGAGGATGGCGGAGCTAAAGGTAAGATCACAATAGACGTCAGCATATCTATTCCTGCATTCCCATGGTGGAGAATAAAAACAAACCTCATCATAGTCAACCCATTGGCAATAACATTCGCGATCCCAAAGTAGACCGTTTGCAGTGGATACTCCTTAATAACATACTTGAGGACGAGGACAGTCTGCAGAGCATAGCAGGATTAGCACAATATCCCCCCCGCTCTAAAGCACACAAAAGAAACACCCCCATATATCCCACGCGGGCATGCAATAATAAAAGAGTAAGGGAATACAGATACATACCACACTCCCCGCCAACCCCCCAGCCAACAATGCAAAGCCCAAAAACAACACAAACCTCGCCTTCCACGCAACCCTACTCCCCGAATAACTAAACGAATCCGCACTTAGACGTGATTTCTCAATCGAGTTAATCACCAGCATGCCCAGCACGGAACAGATGCCGGGAATCCAGTCGACGAATTTCATGTGCACGAAGCTGCCATTTTTGGAGCTCCGGGAGAAGGCCGCGGCGTCGATTAGGAAGAAGAAACCTAGCGAGAACTGGTGGGTCACCGCGACAGATGGGTTGTTAGTTTATGGGTGACATGTATATGAGAGGTAGGTGGGCGGGTCTGGAGGGTGTTTGGAGGGGTTCTGGTGGGTGGGGAGAATGATGGTAGGTGAACGTACCAGGGCACCGGAAATGTAGATTCCTGCTGTGCGGGCGGTTGCACTACTTAGCCATTGTGGTTTGGAGAAGCGGAATAAACGGCTATCGACGTCGTCCATGGCGGTTGGTCCGGTATGGTACAGGCGCCCAAGAGCTACGTTCTATGAGGTAGCGTAGGGACGTCTATATCAACGGTAAATGTTCGGCGGTTCGTAAATATCGCAGATCCCTCCTCTTCTAGATTTGGTTCTTTATTCCAAGAGGATGGCACCAGCAAGATACAATGATCCGTCGTGATTGGCTTCGAGTTTATATGTAGGTATATGTTGGAATATGTCGAGCGATCCCATCCAGGTCTTCTTATCTGTGCCCAGCGGGCACTGGGGTCACGTGGATAAATTAGGTTGAAGTACGGCACGGGACTATTTACCCCTTTTTTGCAGCAATTCACAAGACGATTCTTCACGGAGACGGATCTATCTATGAAATTTACACATGAGTGGAAACGTAGAGCAAATCCGTTCCTTGTAATTGATTGATTAATTATTATGTCATAGCATCCAAAAAAACACAATCATTATTGGGGAGTGTGCCTGATGCGTGGAAAGTGACCTTAGATGTGAACCCCGCTTGTCGATATTTGCTGAGGATACTGTATTATTTGGAGGATCAAGACAGATGGAGCAGCTTGTCACCTCCCAACCTAACAAGGCATCCATCGCGGTGTCGAATGCATGTTATATCAACAACACCTTCGCATTCCAAAGGGACAACAACACGCGCTTCGAACCATCTACAAAATTCCGTTCTTCCCGCTGTTACCTCATCCACTCCCATACAAAATCCGCATGGGACCCTACGTCTCACAAAACAACCTCAACACCCCATCAACCAAATCTGTCGCCTTCCCTCTTTTCAGAACCGGCACACCAACCCGCCCCGATCCCTCCGCCACGGAAGAACTAGCCATTCCAGCAGCAAGGGATCCAGCAGCAGAACTACTACCGGACATACCATCTTTCAGATAGCGTCTTAGCGCAAACGACGCCGCACGATACGTAGCGTGATACATAGCCTTGAAGTCTTCGTCTTCATCCGTATCAGCAGCAATCGCCGTTGGGGGCCTCGAGTGCAGTTGCAGTTGTGATGCCACGGTTGTAGGTGCGGGTAGGGTGGGGGACTCCGCATCTGGATCTTGAAAAAAGACGATTCCCTTTTGCTGCTGTTGCTGTTGCTGTTGCTGTTGCTGTTGCTGTTGCTGTGTATTATTGTTGGATGCAGTTGTTGTACGTGAATTTCGATGAAAGCCATATAGACGCATGCAGGTTAATATGGTTCTTGTGAGCAATGCCTTGTTCGCACCAATGATCTCGGACGACGCTGATGTGGGGGCCATCACTACATCCGCCTGCGGCAGGGATATTTGGGTATCCTGTTGTCGCGGAGTTGGACGGGCAGAAGCGGGAGCAGGAGCAGGCGTGCTTCTGCGACTCGACATGCTTGAAGTGCGCATATGTGCCACGGGACCCGCCGCGGGCAAAGGCTGCTCCTTCGACACCCTCGTAATTCTACTAAATGATAGCGTCCGCGGCCTGTGTATACCATCATCGTTATTGCTATCAAGTGTATCAACCGTATGACAATCTACCGGCTCCTTCTTAATCCTCATCACACCCGACTTCGCCAGCTGGTGCGTCGATGAGGAGTTTCTCGACATGAGCTGTGCAACCGCCGCGCCACCCTTCCGCCGGACCCGTTTGTGGTGCTCAGTCGCCGCGTCGAAAAGGCTGGCTATCCGCTTCCGCTTGGGGCAGGGCGATTCCAGCTCCAGGGGGAGGAACTCTGCGAACAGCTCGTTGTTGTTATCATTATTTTTATGATTGTCAAAGTTAATTTTTTTGCTGTCTGCTGACGAAAGAGGCTCAGGACTGAGCGGTGGCGTTGGTAGGGACTCAGCCTTCATAATAAGCGCGGAACAAATCGTGATAGCATAGATTTGTAGTTCCATTTGCGGACCGCTATTTTCACTCACTAGATTGTGATCTAAATCGGGACCGGAGAAAGGCTCTGATGAAGACGGAGGAGGTGTACTCGGGCGACTAATATACAGTGAAGGCGACCCCAGTATCCCATACACAAGGATATCCGTTACATGGTGAGAACCAATCCCCCCACCACGCTGCTTCGGGTCTTCGACCGCTAAGAGCACTCCAGTCGGACACTGGATGGGTATCGACGCACCCAGCTCGTCGGCATTGTCGTCCCATATACCGCTCAATAGCCTAGTCTTCCACCACTCCGCCACGTCAGGATGTGTAATATGGGCTTCCAGCGTGGGGCCTGTTCGCGCGTAATAGGGTATGAGAGTGGGATTAACGAAGGCACGGAGGGAGAGGTTTGAGTCTTTGCGGAGGTCGCTGGGTTGTGCTGGGGATGGATTGAGGAGGGAGATTCCTGGGAGGGAATGATTAATAAATAATTTTATTGGGGAATTTGTTTTTATTTCTTTCATGCACGCTCTGTTACCTTTTCCCTGTGAGGGATCCCCAATACCATTGATGGGTCCCGACCAGACCTCCATCTATCTGCTCTCTGATGCATCAGACGGGAGCTGGGAGGTATTTTATGTCAGCTCAAAACCAACTGCTGTGGCTGATCTTTGCATTAGATATAATCTAATTCCATTTAATCTGCCAGTTTTAAATCCGCAACTCCTCAATATTTTGTATGTTGAGATCGTTTGTCTGGATATCAATTTTACAGTCGCGACTCCGAAACGACGTTTGGGAGAACGCGATATCACGTGGATTCGAACATTCAATTGCCTAGCCTCGGCACCAAGGGAATGGCTGGCGATGCGGAAAAGTGAAGCCAGTAATACGGGATCTTGTTCACTACAAGAAACATAACGTGGTGATATTGTAATAAGGTGGTGATAATGTACACGTACACGGACATTTGGCAAACCGGAAAAAGTAAGGGAAACCAACGCCGAAACATAAAAGGAGGAATGGTCTGGTAATCGGAAGAAGAAGTCAAAATGAACTATCATCAACAGCTCCCGTTCGGAGATTATGGTAAGTATCCAGGAGTGATATACTGGTGTTGACATGGATCGAAAAAAGGTCTTCCATCTTGCAAACGTGATCCCAGCCCGGGTGAAGAACAGCGATAAGGTCAAAGAAACGGATGAACCCTTCAAAAACAGGCAAAAATTATCATGAATGAAGGGGGAAACAACCCGTTGGAAAAAGAGGAAAACTCACTCACTCCAGAACATGAAATACCATGGGGTGTCAAGAGCGAGTAGAAGAGGCAAATACATACAGACTATTATTAAAGAGATACGATGATGAGAGGCCCAGCATAAAAACACAGAGCCACAACAAAATGCTTGCAGAGTTCTAGTCTTTAGAAATCTTCTTGCTCCTGGAAAAATATAGAGAAACTGATGATGGTGACGTATATTAAGAGACCGCCCAGAATCGACATGACCATTGCGGGGACTCGGATGGCACCGCTATGCGCCAGAAGGGTCGGAAGGGCTATTTAGGCAACCACAAGTTCAGTCTGCGAGAATAGAATCGATAGTATGGAAAAAGGACGGCGGTAAATGAAACCAGACAGTCTGTCTTGTGAAGCTAGATAGCGCCTCTATAGGGCATAGAATGAAAACACAAAACACTCACCAATCCCCATCACAACCAGGAAGCCCGTACACCACCTGCCAAAGTCGACCACGGTGTTCCCCGCGCTCTCCATGAAGTCATCTGGATTTGCGCAGCGGCCGCATATCCAGTTCGGTAGCGGGGCGATTACGTATGTAGCGACAACGAGGAGGGGGAGGTAGTTGTGCCATAGGGCGGCGGAGAGGATGACGAGGAGAAAGCCAATTGCGAGGACCTGGGTAATAAAGAGATTAGATGGGGGCGGTAGGAATGTGAGCTGGGGGCGGTGGGAATGTGAGCTGGGGGCGGTGGGAATGTGAGCTGGGATCGGTTGGGGGAGAAGGGTAACATACGAAAGAAAGGGAGATGATTGTTCTCAGGCCTGCCGCCATGGCTAAGGAGGGATTAATTTTGGAGGAGGAAGGGCGGAGACGGAGGCGCAGGAGGAGAAGGGGGGAATTTGATATCAGCCCGCTCCCAGCTGGAAGGTCTCACAGGCGAAGGTTGGTGGGGGTATTTCAAGAGCTGTGGAGAGGGAGTGGCAACATGTGGTGTTATCCCGGCGGACAGACCAGGTGTGTATCTTAAATACAGAATAAAGAGGGCTGGGACAAGACACAGTATATGTCTTTATATAAATAATAAATAGTCTGCTGTTGTTCTCCTGCTGTATAACTATTAGGGATAAAGTTGTTTGTTCTTACGATGCGACGACTACGGCGGCACTGGCAGGTGGATTATGTAACAGCTTAGCTAACCCGATTGACAGCAGCTTGCACCGCGTCACTTTGAGTCTGCGTGAGAGACAGAGATATCAACACTCAATTTTATTTTGTATTTCCGCAATATCTTATTACAAGGCCAAGGGAGAGGAATATATTGCGGGATAAACACTTGGCTTTTGTATTATACCCATTCCTCGGTCTATCCACCATGTTCAGGAACAATTACGACAACGATTCAGTTACCTGGTAAGCTCTCCTCACGACGACATAAGAACCACCAATTTACTGACCATGTATAACACTGTACAGCTCGCCGCAAGGAAGAATCTTCCAGGTAGAATATGCCCAAGAAGCTGTAAAGCAAGGCTCTGTCGTCGTTGGAATTGCTAGCAAAACACATGCCGTCCTAGTAGCTCTCAAGGTACGAGAGACAAAACAAAACCATACACATATCCCATAGAAGATCAATGTATATATTTTATCTATATATATGTATATTTATATCTAACATAAACGCCCAGCGCAACGCCGAAGAACTCTCCTCCTACCAAAAGAAGATCATCCCCATAGATCAGCACATGGGCATCGCCATTGCAGGCCTAGCCTCTGACGCCCGCGTCCTCTCCAACTTCATGAAACAGCAATCCCTCGCCTCAAAAATGACTTACGGCCGTCCCATTCCCCTCGAAAACATCGTCGACCGCGTAGGCGAGCGCGCCCAGACAAACACCCAGCACTACGGCAAACGGCCCTACGGTGTCGGCCTGCTCGTGGCCGGCGTCGACGATGCGGGGCCCCATCTGTACGAGTTTCAACCCTCCGGCATGACCCATGAGATGGTTGCGTATGCGATTGGGGCGCGGAGTCAGATGGCCCGGACGTATTTGGAGAGGCATCTGGAGGAGTTTGACGGGTGTGGGCGGGATGAGTTGATTAGGCATGGGTTGAAGGCGTTGAAGGAGAGTTTGTCCCAGGATAAGGAGTTGACGGTTGATAATACGACGGTTGGCATTGTCGGGGTTGGGGAGGGGAAAGGGAAGGTTGAGGCGTTTAAATTGTATGAAGGGTTGGATGTGGGGGTGTTTTTGGAAAACGCGAGTAATGAGGGGACACAGGGCGGAGGTGAGGGGGAAGCGGAAGCAGAAGGGCAGCCCATGGAAGTGGATTCATGATGATGAAGGATGATGCTGGTGATTGATATATTTTCTTTTTCTTTTCATCTTTTTCATCTTTTATCTTGTTATGGCTTTGCTTCATTGAGGCTAACTAGATATCAAGGCAGTTTGCGGTTTGTGATCTGTTTCTTAACCATGATCTGTTTATTCGGAATAGATGACCATTTCCGGTAACTGTGACGACGATAGTATGTCTAAAATTCACAAGTAAAGGTAATTCTCTAGATTGGTGGAAGGGACTCAGGCACATCGGGCATATATATCCATTGGGTCCTTGATGCATCCCCTATCTGCGCCACAACTGGTAACCCCTGGATATTAACCCGTCCGCTCCATATATTAACTCTGCTCAAAGGCAATGTTCCTGAATAGTAATAATATATTTAATAATATATCTAATCTTTCAACCTCAAAAACACCACGCTATAGAATTCGTAATGTTAGCATTTCAAAAAACCTCAAGGGAATCATAAAAAGCACAAAAACCCCCTTTCCGTTCTTCCTTTCTATCAGTCTATCCATTGATCCCTCTATTCAATCAAGCAAACAATCTACGACCGCGACCAATCCAACGAATACCTCCCCTCGCAAAGCCTATACGCCCTCAAAGCCCCCACAACCTCTTCAACCCTCTTACACTCCACGAAAATCCCCTTATTCACCTCGCTCACAAACTCATCCTTCACCGCCCTCTCGACCCACTCCATCAACCCATCCCAATACCCCTCAATATTCAACAACACAATCCCCTGATGATGAATCCCCAGCTGATTCCACGTAACAACCTCCATGGCCTCCTCAAGTGTGCCAAACCCGCCCGCAAGAACGACAAACCCACTCCCGGGTCCACCCTCCATAACCTTCTCCGCCATCACCCGCTTCCGCGTATGCATATCCGGCACAAGCGTCGTAAGCCCATACTCTGACTCCCCATCCGCACTCTCATCGCCATCGCTGACAACAATAACCCTCTCCGGCTCCTTGCCGCGCTCCATCGCCGCCCTTTCGGCCTTGGGCCCCGTCAATGCCGTCCGGTATCCGTTCTCGATCTTGACAAGGGCAGAGGGGATGATGCCGTGCACGGACTTGGGGCCGGATAGGGAGACGAGGGTGCGGGCTAGTTCACCCATGATGCCACCTGTGCCGCCGCCGTAGATGAGGGTGATGTTTTCCCTGTGGAAGATGTGGGCGAGGGCCCGGGCGGAGGCGAGGTGCGCAGGGTTGTTGCCTGGATGCGAGCCGCAACTGATTCGGTTTTACCTTGGTTAGCTGGGGGAATCGAGTGGGGACACGAAAGGAATGGGGATGCGGTGGGGGTGGCTTACAAGACGCAGACTACCGTGGGTTTGGTAGCGCTAGGGTCTGTGGTGGTGGTGGTGGTGGTTGTGCTGGCCATGGTGGGCAAGATATTTAAGAGAGTCAACGGTCTATTGTATAGTTTTATCGATTAATTGGATTCAGTGAGGAATAATGGTTGCGAGGGTGGTTCTCCGTATATATAGAGATATGCTTGGATATGCGAAATGACAGATTGTTTTACAAACACGGGGGAACGGAAGGTACCCAGGTACCTATGGAAATTAGTTAAATGACTCTTCTTCAGTGGCGGGGAGACAACAGTGCCAGCAAATGGTATGATTCATCGGTTCAGCGCAAACAGTTTCTTGATGGAAAGAAGAAAAGAAGACAGAAAAGGGCCGATCAGGGTCTATATATCCGTGGATGTGCGGAGCGGATAGTTTGTTCTGCCCGTATCTATATATATCCCAGTACGAATAATAATAGTAAGTGTTTGTACTTTTTATGCTCCAGGAACCAACACAAAACTTTGCTAGAAAACTAAGAAGCGTAAGTTTATAGCAATGCCATATATAGACATATAGGTGATTTTTATATATAAAAAACTCGATGAATATTTAGGTTGATTTTGAGAAGAAGGAAGCTCAGTATGAGTATGTGATTAGGATGGCAGTCTTCATGTAGAACTTGTTGTTATGGCACAAGCTGAGAACAGTGGGAATCTTCAGCTCAGATGCAAAACCGCGGGCCTGCTGTCGAAAGAGATAATCCAGCAAGAAATACAAGCAGAGGAGACATAGAATACATATGATGCCAGGTAATAGATAGCGCCTGCGAAAACAAAATAACCCTTCTCATAACGCCTATATCGTGTTCGCCTCCAGGTGTTATTGTTTATCCCCAACCAAAACCCCAATTGCAAGACAAGAAGCAAAACAAAACTGCAACAGACACCGCCAAAACTGCTAACATTCCAATACGAAAATAACATCACGAGCTGGGCATACCCACACCCGCACCCGCGCCCGCACCTGCATTAGTCGCCGTAGCAGACGAAACTTTGCTCTTCTTCCTCCTAATCTTCCCCCCACCAGGCGTAGTCGGACTCTTCTCTCCTCCATTCCCCGCCCTCGCTGCCCCAATCGTAGCCGCATCAGTCTTGATAGCCGGCACCGCAGCACCGGCCCAAGTGCTAGCACCAGCTCCGACGCCAGTCCCCGCCGGTGTATCCGGTTTACTCATCACGCCCACACCAACAGTCGGGACAGGTGTGGGTGCCTTGGGCTGGAGAGCCTTGGCCTGCTGTCTCGTCGCCAGCGGCTCAGTGAATGCCTTGCCGATGATGAAGGAGCCCGGTTCACCCAGCAAGGGGGCGTCGTCCATGAATTCATCACCGTAGCGGGAGAGGAGGTTGAAGGCCTCGGCGAAACTGCGGGAGTCTTGCATTGTGGTGTATTGGGAGAGGGAGGAGGGCGCGTTAGTCGTGGTGGTGGAAGTGGTGGCTAGAGTTGGCGCGGTTCCGGCTCTTGATTGTGCAGGTAGGTCTGGGATGGGAGTGTTAGCTGTGCTTTGTTGGGTGGACTGTTGGCCTGGGCGGGAAGGGTCGAGGGTTCTGGGGACAGGTGGCATGTATGTGTGGCCGTAGGATGGAGAGAAGAGGGGGAGTGGTGATGCGACGGAGAGAGCTTTCGTGAGGGAGGTTACTGTTGAGAGCTAGCGTCACAAGATAGAAAGTTGTTGTCAGTAATTCCAATTCCATTTCACAAGAGATAAAGCCACACGTATATATATATATATATATATATATATGTTGCATGCTGCAAAGATTGCCAATACATACCATCCGACTCCCAATAACCTTCAACACCGACGGGGCCATATATACCGAATCCCCCACAACAAAATACGTCGCGAGCACCTGAATCTCATCATCGCTCGCCCGCTTCTTCCGCACCTGCTTCCGAATCACCCACACATTCGACGGCTCTTGTGGTAACTTTTGAGGCCCTTTCTCGTCCGCCGTAGCAGCCGCCGCAGCCGCCACCTCCTGCAACGGATCACGCACCACCATAAACTCCACACCTTGCATGGTCTTCAGGCGACCCTCAAACGCCTCGCGCGTCTCGATGAAGTGGCGGAAGTTTTCATTATAGGACGCTTGAATGGCGAGGGAGGCATTGTTGGAGGTGGCGTCGAAGAAGGGGGATTCGGCGAAGTAGAAGAGGACTGTTTTTTGGATTGGTTAGCCCCATGTTCGTTTCTCATTCATCTTCCATTTCATTTTGGCATTTCCTCTGCAATCCGGGTTTAAGAGTAGGAGCGTACTGTTGTTTGAATGGAGAAAGCCGCCCATCATCTGTACGTGGTGCGGCGAGCGCCAGGTGATTTCTTCCAGCGGGACATCAGGCTGCGCAGCCATGGTGAGGAGTGGGATCAGCAAGAGACGGCAGGATGGGGAGGAAGCATAGGGGAGCTGGAAGTTAAGGGCTGATAAGTGCCATGGGACATGGTTGTACTGGAGAGCTGCATCTGCAGTATCCTGCTCTGTGGATGTGAGCACCAATGTCCGATGGATGAGATATATATTATTGTATGTATATGTAAGTATATTCATGGCATTGTTTTGATGGGGACGAGAAAGTTACTAGTGTATTCGGTATGGTAACATAATGTATTAAAATACCTGCCTCTTCATCTATCGTACATAGTGTAAGGGTGGTATAGAAAATAATCTAGAAGAGATGAGCGGAGTGAATATGTCAATATGCACGGAGTATTGAGATCATGGATTTCTCTTCTTTTTGCTAGTGAAGCATAGTGAAACATAACATATAGATTTTGTAGATAAGACAGCATATCTCAGGCACAACTGCAGTCGTCGCTCAAAATATTGACCGCTGAATCCCTCGATATCCACTCCCTGGCCATTGGAAGCCTGTTAAACCACGGGGTATGTTAGCAGTTCAGTAACAGTTAACTCACTATTGAATCAAATAAAGATACAAGAACATAGAGAGTCTCCCATCCTTTCAGGACCCCACTCAGACACTAATAAACGTAGGAACAGACAAGGCGATCCCCTTGATATAAACCTCCCAACACAGCACCCATACCAACACCTCTGCCTGGCGGAGTGTATTCCAGCTGGTTCCAACTCGTTGCGCCAATGATTTCATGTCCTTGATGGTGTGCATCACTGATCACCAAAGGAGTTGGATCTGGCTTGCTGTTCATTCTACTGAATCATTCATGTCTTTCTTGATTGCTTTTCAGTGCCCTTTTTTCTTCTTTTTTTTTCACCCCCCCCCCGTTGAAGGGAATCCATTTATTGTCAAGGCGCCTAAATCCTACCAAGTCCCAACCGGAATACCAGAAAATTGTTAATTGGACATGAAAGAAACATAACACAAAATAAGAAGCCGCAATTTTCCCTACCCTTAATCCCCCGTCATCAATGCCTTGACCAAGCTCCACATAATGTTGTCATTCCAAGTCGCCCTTTCACATGAAAACACCCTCATCCAGCCCCAATGCCAAACACCAGACCAGACCGGACCAGACCGGACCCCTAAAACGGCAAAGTCTGCTGAAACTTATCAACCTCTCTCAAACACACAATGGCCGCGATCCACCGGAAACTAATAAGCTTGCGCTTCTTCTTGCCATGTTTATCCGTCCCATCTGCCTTCCCTGACTGG